ACTTTAACCAAAAAATGCTAAATGATCCACAATACAACTTTTTTATTTTTAATATTTTTAAATTATTTCTGCAATTAAATAATAATTTCCATATTTTTTTAATGTTGAGAATGATGAGGAGGATGGAGAGTGGGTTGATTGCAACTTGTCGGAAGAAGATGATGAGTGGAGTAACTCAAATGATGGTACTACTGAGAAATTAATCTGATAGAGGAAGAGGGAGAGGAAGTTTTTAATACAGAGTTCCTATTTGCAAAGTACAAAAGAATGAAGAAAAGTACCTCTATTCCTTGTCTTACCAGAGACGTTGGAAGAGTAAATAAGATCAAGTATTGCTTGGGGAACAGGGGGGGAAATCGAAGATAAAACAAAGTAGCACCAGCCCAGGAAATTGACAGGGGGGGTGTCCATAAGGAAATAGTAGATGGCCATTAGAGGTCTTGCAAGAACTTAGGTGGAGATAAACTACAAAACTGTGGCTGATAAAAAAAAACCTACAAAACTATGGAAAAGAAAATGGGTGTGAATCTAGACTAAGGAATTCTTCCCAACAGGCTTTCCATGGGGCGATTGTTTCATAAAATTCTGAACTAGAAAACAAAGCTGTGTCCTCCGATTGCGTTGTTGAGTCTTTCCACTCGTCCTCTCTAGGTTTGCTTGTGAATTTGGTTTTGGATACTAATCTATGCTGTGTCTGATGCTTGTCCTCTAGGGTCTTGTGCAGCATTTAGGCCACTTGCCCTTGATGCAAGAGTAAAGGAAATTAAGAGTGAGAAGTTACCAGAGGAAGTAGAAAGAGGAAGAATAATTTGGGTGTTAATAGAAGAGTTGTTTGGAGATTTAAAAAGGAAAGAACTGGAGAAAGATAAAATCTTGAAAGGTGAAACAAGTGAAGTTGCTGCAGTGAGGAAGGTGTTGTTGGAGCAAGGGGACTGAAGGTTTTAAGGGGAGAGAGGAGGGAGGTAAGAGGGGGGTTGAGGAGGAAGAAGATTCGGTGGCTGAATTTGTGGGAAAATTAGGTTGTAAAATAAGGGACCTGAATGAGCTGAAAGTATTTTTGAGGAAGAAAAAGGAAGAAGGGGAAAACTAGTAAAATGAGGTTAAGTGAGGCTGAGAGGTTAATGTTAGATGTGGACTTTGACAAGGAGTTTAGTGAAATAAAGGGGAGGAGAAGAGACAGTACGTAGGAAGTAAAAGGAAGGGGCACATATTTTAGGTGGAAATGAAGATTTTAAGTTGGAATGTGAGAGGATTGGAGAATCCCAGAAAGAGAACTATAATAAAGGATGTGCTGAGAAAGGAAAATCGTTATGCTTCAGGAATCTAAGCTAGCTGGCTTTGATAACAGATAGTTAAGAAGCTTGTGGAGGGCTAGGAGAATTAGTTGGGCAATAAGTCCATCATGGGGATCATTGGGAGGCATAGTGACTATGTTGAAAGATGAGGTTCTAGAAGGGACTAAGGAACTTGTTGGCAATTTCACAGTGTCCATTAAGTTCAGACAAGTGACTAATGGGTTTGAGTGGGTGTTAACAAATATGTATGGTCCTAAACAGAGAGAGGAATGAGATGTGGGGAAGCATTGGGAGGTAATAGAGGCTTGTGGAAGGGACCATGGTGTATAGGTGGGGATTTCAATGTAATTATGTTCACTACAGATTGGGAGGAATATTTGGGAGATCTAGTCTCTAGAGCTTTACCTAGGGTAAGCTCTGATCACTGGCCAATTTTCATTAGTAAGGAGGATTTAGGTGGTAGAGGTTCAACCCCTTTTAGATTTGAGAACATGTGGTTGGGTCACCCGGTTTTATAAAGAAAATTAAGGTTTGGTGGAATGAAAGTAACTTTAGGGTAAATTGGGAAGGAATGAAGCTCCATTGGAAGTTGAAAGAATTGAAAGCAAAAATTAAGGATTGGAACATTCAGCATTTTGTGTGATTAGAAGAAAGGAAACAAGAGGTGATTAGCCAAATTGAGGTCTTAGATGCTAAGGAAGGTAAAGGTAATTTTGAGGAAAGGGACAAAGAGGTAGGGTGGGGGTTAAGATGGAAATTGGAGGATGTTCTTTTTAAAGAAGAAACCGGTTAGAGGCAAAAATCTAGGCATAAATGGGTGAGAAAAGGGGATAGAAATACAAAGTTCTTTCATGCTTTGGCAAATGGGAGAAAGAAAAGTTTCATCTCTAAGCTTGTGATTGATGATGTAATTCTTACCCAACACAATGAGATTGCAAGGGCTTTTGTGAATCATTTCAAATCTATATATAGAAGGCCTCTAAATGGTAGAATAAGGTTAGAAGAGTTAGATTGGCCTAAACTACCTGAGGACCTTAGTTTATGGCTTGAAAGAAACTTTGAAGTGGAAGAAAAAAACACGCAATATTTTCGATGGATAGGTCCAAAGCTCTTGGTTCGGATGGTTTTATGATGGATTGTTGTCAAGATTGTTGGGACATACTCAAACATGACATTTAGAAGGACTTTTGGGCCTTATTGGGTATTACAGACACTTTATTAAATATTAGGGTCTATTGGTGGGTCCATTGATCCAGCTATTGCATAAGGATTCATTTGATTGGTCTAGTGAGGTTGAACTTGCATTTGAGTGCCTCGAGCTCACACTGTCCAGCCGACCTACATTGGTTCTTCCTTACTTTACAAAGCCCTTTTTATTAAAATATGACGCAGCAGGTGGTCGTCTAGGTGCTGTCCTGGTTTAAGATGGCCATCCTATTGCATATTTTAGCAAGACCTTGGCCAGGTCAGCCAAATGTAAATCAGCATATGAATGGGAGTTAATGGCATTGGTGCTTGCTGTTACGAAGTGGAGAGCCTATCTGTTTGGTTGCAAATTCGTGAAATGAACCGGCTAGCAGAATTTGAAGCATTTATTAGAGCAACAAATGCATACTAACTCTACCTACATGCCACAACTTTTACAGTTATTTCATATGTCACCAGAGGGAGTACATTCTGGTGTTCTTAAGACATACCATTGTGTTGCCTTCCATTAATTTTGAATTGGCACAAAGAAGGCTATTCGAGATTATGTCGCTTGGTCCATTTGTTATCACTAGACAAATGGACCAGAGACACACATATGGCTGCTGCAGAAAGGGTGTTATGCTACCTTAAGGGAACCTTTGTGAAGGGTATATTATTTGCTAAACATGGACACATGAAGGTAGAAGCATATGCAGATGCTGATTGGGCAGGAAATGTGGATGACAGGAAATCCACATCAGAATATTGTGCTATGGTAGCTAAAAATATTGTTTCCTGGAGAAGTAAAAAGCAATTAGTGGTTGCTAGATCTTTAGCTGAGGCAGAGTATAGAGCTATGGCCCATGGTGTTTCTAAGTTGTTATGGTTTAGATCTCTCCTTAATGAGATGGGTGTTTTATGTGACGAGCCACTGATGTTGTACTGTGATAACCAAGCTGCTATTATCATTGCTCACAACCCAGTTCAGCATGATAGAACTAAGCATATTGAGATAGATAGGCACTTTATACGAGATAGAGTGGCTTCAGGAGAGGTGTGCCTACATTTCATTGCATCAGAAGTGCAGCTAGCAGATTTTCTAACTAAAGGAGTCTCAAAGGCAAAGCTTCAACATTATGTAAGCAAGCTAGGAATGATTGACATCTATGCTTAGCTTGAAGGGGGGAGTGTAGTGAGAATGGGCCGAATGGGCCTTAGTGTTTTTTGTTTATTTTAAGTAGTATTTAAAAGTTATGTTTCTTAGTTATGGGCCTTCTTTTATTTTCTTTAATTATTTCTTTAGTGCTGGCCGCCCCCTCAAGGGCATCCAAGTAATTGTACTAAGATTTAGAATTATTAATAAAGTGATGAAAGGGGGCTAGAGAGAGGTTCGAATTCTTCTTTTCTCTCTTCCCTTCTTTTCTTCTTCTACAACCTATTGCTGCAACTTCTTTCTTCTTCTTTCTCTCTCTCTCTTTTCTTATTTTCTTGCATTATCTGAATTATTGTAGGTGTAATTTTCAATTGGTTTAATAGGTTGTAACCAAATATGATCAAGAACTGTTAAATCTGTTAGACATGTTGTACTCAACATATACAAGGAAAGTGAGAATAATAAGACTCACCTTGATTTGGCATTAATCTCTCTCTCTCTCTCTCTCTCTCTCATCTTTCACTCTCATTCTTAGGAGCAAGCACCTTCATTACCTTCATGGTGGAAACTCCCCTGATTGGAGCCCTGTTGCTCTCCTGTGCCCTGCTCGATGCCCCTCTCCGCCTAAGACATGACGACCTTCAGTGCCTCCTTAAGCTAGCAGATGTTACTGATGGCCTTGTGAGGTCAAGCTCTATTCGAGCCACTCGATCCTCAATGGGGGAAGTTTTGGTGTTTGTCATCTCTCCTCCAGAGCTCTGATACCAGTTGTTGAGTTACTGCTCAACACAGGAGCTGGTTCAAGGTAGCTCAAACTCCTTACAAGAACAATGGAGAAGAAAATACTCAATCGTCTGCCTCCATTCCCGCATTCACCATTTATGACAGCCATTCAGTTACAATCACTTATTAACCAACTGTGACGTGGCTGTTTGGTGTACATAAACCTGATGAGAGCTTTATAAGGCTCGGCTGAGCTCATGGGCCTTGAGTGGTCCTGGGTAGTGCTGTCAGCAGTGGTGGGTGAAGAAGAATGGGTAATGGGCTTTAACAATGTCCTGATAATACTGGCATTAATGCTTCTAGAATATGTAAAATGGTATATATCAAGAAGTCATACTGTAAAAAACTCAAACATTTATAAGTTGGATCAAATTTGACAAATTATTTGGAAATGATATTTAGTTTACAGGATTAGACACAAAAACATGGTGTAAACATATTAGGTTGGATCCCTATACCTGTATGTGCCCTGGATTTTGGGAAAACTCGTTGTCATTCCATATCAGTGCTCTTACCTATGTGGTCATCTCAGGTACTCGTTCACAACTATATGCTTCTAACTTTACGTGTATTTCCCATAGAGAAAGCTGGAGAGAGATCTGGCTTTATATGGTGGAGCTCAACCAGCCACTGATGCAGGAGTTGATGAGGGTGGTGATGACATTGACCAGGAAGAGGGAACTGATCCAACTACATCAATTTCTGGTATATTTCACTACCACAAGCTGCACATCACTTGAATGAACCATTAAGTTGGAAGTAGTTGCTCGGGAAATATTTTTGTCCATTGCATAAGTTCTAAGATAGTAAGATCAGTTGGCGACTTGGCATACAAGTAGCCAAGAGTGGGATTTAACCATCCATTACTCCCTTTTGAAGATTTCTATTCCATAAAATAAAACCATAGGCTTCTTGTGATAATCTCATCAATCACATTTCTTTTTCTTATCAATTATCAATTGCAATCTTTTGAACAACCTGAAATAAAGGTAACAAATATGGCGAGCAGTTGAGTAAATCCCTGCAGCATTTGATGATGTTTCAAAGGACATTCCATTGTTTTCTGTCGCCAGTTTTCCCTGGGAACAGGAAAAGAAGAGAAAAATTTCCTTGAAACATTGCCAGAAGCTTACATATTTTACTTGTCTGGTCTTCTGGATTGGTCCATGGTTTTGGCACATATACTTTTCTTGTTAAGACATCAAGTAGCAATGACTTTCCCCCTGCCTTAGGTGAACCAAACAATCATGACACATTTCTTCTGGTTTTTCTTCTGTTAGACTAATAATGCAGTTTTCATCCTTTTATCTAACTAAATCTTATGCCTGTTTTTTCATTTCATAGTTGAAGGGACAAGTATGTATGACAACGGTGATATGACTATCACAGTGACAATGAGTGAGATCTCTCGAGAAGAAGATGCAGATTTAAGGCCAAAGACACAGTTAATCCCTAGATCAAGTATTGGTGGTACTGAAAAGAGGCACCAAATACCTTTGAATAAGAAGACATTCAAAAAATCCCAAAAGCACAAGCCACTTCGAAGGCCACAGAAGAAACGAGACAAAAAGAAGGGAAAGAAGAACAAGAAGCACTAGCAGTAAGCATTAAGTTGTATTTGTTTCTGAAAGGACAGAATAGTCACTTTGATCTACTTCTGAAAAAAAGACGGTTTGTTTGGTTGGTTATATAAAGTGATAATTTGTAACTTGGTTGTCTATCTATTTTTTTTTTTAATTTTTTTTTTCATGAACAGGTTCTCTCAGTTATTCTTTTTTGGTAGTGTAGATGAAAGGAAAGATCTATGCTGCCAGAAAGACAAGAGGCCTGAAGGGTTATTCTCCATATCTTGAATCACTAGGCCAGCACCAGATTGTATAGATGATGACACCCCGTCAAAGTTCACCTTCAGCCAGCCATCAGGAGGGGGAGTCCATCAGTCCAATGACATGCTGAGAGACTTTAGAGTGGACTGCACCAGTATAGTGAACAATTTCGATCTCTACTCTGGAAAACAGTGGCATTAACAAGATGAACAGGATCAAATGCAAGAAATTGGATTTGGTCCTCACAAAATTGTGCTCATACTGTTCTCACAGCGCTTTTCAGCCGGGAATGTAGGGATGTGACATGTGAGAACGGTGTGAACACAATTTTGTGAATACTGAGTCCACCCTCCAAATGCAATCCCTTCCATGACAAACTTACATCTAGACTGCTAGATGTTCCAAAGATGGAAAGAACAATAGAGCAACCTGCAATGGTATAGACATAATCGGTGCTCAGTGGGTTATCAATTTGTGACCAAAACTTCAACCAACCTATGGGCACTAACCCTCAATTCTACTGGAGATGCAGCCCATATATGTTGGACAATCGGGCATTAGAACAAGATATGGTGGTAGAGTGTTTCTTCCCCCTCGCAAATGCTATAAAGTGCACCAATTCGAGCATGTCTTTTAATAGCTCTGATTTAACTGGAAGACAATTCATCTGATGCATTTCCAATAAAAACAAGTGGGCTCTAAGAGGACTATGTTTAGATCTCCAGAATGTATGCCAAGAAACATCTACAAACGCCAAGCTAGCTGTTGATGATTGAGTCAAGGAAGCAGTGAGATATTTACAATCCGAAGCAGTAGAAAATTGACCCTGTGGTGTCAGCTTAAAAATAAGTTTACGAGGATGTAGAGCCTTGTGAGCAATGTCTGGATGGTTCCACCTTCCGATTCGAATGGATGGTCCATTCTGATAAAAAATTAAAATAAAAAATGGCTAAAAACTGTTGAACGGATCAAACAGGTTGATCCGACTTTCCAGATTAATGGATCATTGACCAATTCAATAGATTTTGGCCAGAGACAGGGTTTTGGGGTAAAATAGAACCGATTCTCTGGATGGTTCCCAGTTTGAATGGCCCGTATTATTACTTGGGCAATATCAGTAGGAAAATGAGAATAAATAACATTTAGTTCTCCATGACAATGATTCATGGTCGATTAGGGAGGGAACATTACCATTATAGGTGACACCTGCATCTTGTAGGGCCTGTAGACTCTGAGTTCATATTGGCTCCCCATTCACGGTTGGGATACTGTTTTCAAAACCGAACCAGACCCGAAAAACCGGAAACAGGTCACCTGACCGGTTCCATTTTCCTCCAAAACCGTTTTTCCTCCAAAATCGTTAATTTTGGTCAACTAACCGCTGAACCGGCCGGTTAACCGTTCAAACGGTTTTGACCGTTTTTCAAATTTTTAATTTTTTTTTTATTTTTTTGTCAAAACGGACCAGCCATTTGGGTCGAACGGTTGGACCATTCCAACTGGTAACCGGACCCTTGACTGATTCAGTCACCAGTTCGTTTTTAAAAACCATGGGGATACCTGATATGGTGTGGGGCGCCCATGTGGATTCATGGACTCCATCCATCAATCCACGGGTCATGTAGAACATCTATATCTCATCCTATACCAACCGTCCAATAATGCATGTTTGTACATATTTTCTATGGTCAAGAATAGAGGCCCAAGTCCCTAAAATTACACCTCCTTTAGTTACTAGTTGGTAACCAGAATGATTGTCCATGCTTGATATACTTACCGGTGAGCACCTCAGTCCAAATTTCATTTGAAGTGAAAAATCGCCACTAGCTTCATTATAAGAGCCAAATTCAGTAATTGAACATCCTTAAAAACCAAGCCTCCATCCTCTATACTTTTCATATTGGAATCCCAGTTTTTTCATGTGAAAGAAGTGATCCTTGTCTATATAACCCACCAAAAGTCTCTACACGATGCATTTATTTTGCTTGAAGCGTATTGAGTAATTAAACAGGTAAGAGTATGATTAGGTAAAGCTTCATCACACTTCTTCTGAGTAATACAACACGACCCACATGGGACAACAATTTTAACTGCCAATTATTCAGGCCTTCTTTGGCGCATCTTTTCCAGTTTGGCTGGGAAAAGATCTAGTTGCCAAAAGCCGTAACCTCAAAAAGACATGAAAAATTCATTTTGGGCTATTTTCGAGAAGCTCTAAATGGAGTTTTTTGCCTTTTTTTTTTCAACTCGTCTTCGTGCAGAAAGATGCATGAACAGATGCCTTAATCAAACGGTTTTCAAGTTGTTAAGATCTTGATGCAAAAATTTATATCGTCTTTTAATTGTTAGAATTTCTAGAAAATCTTTCAAAAAAAACTTGCCAAACAACCCCTTACTTTATGAGAAATTTTATCAAGTACGGCCTTCCAATTATATCTACTGAAACTATTATCATCAAAATAAGCATCCAAATAAGTTTCCTTTATAGGATGTCTCTCTAACACCAATAAATGATGATAGGTGGCGTCTGACCCTTCTGTGCACATTGGTGCTAAACATCATGAAAGACTTGTGCAAATGTTTGTATAGAGAGTCATGTACGAAAGTAAGTTCCTGCACGTCTACATATAATAATATCATCTGCAAAAAGTAGATCAATTGAGCAACCATTAGAACCAAAAGAAAACCTTTGAGATCACTGGTAAATAGACCATGAAGAGATGATAAAAGACATCCAGGTAGAGAATAAAGAAGGTGAAAGAGGACAACTTTGCCTAATACCCGTGTGACTGAAAGGTGAGCCAGAATACCATTAAGGATCAGGCGCATGTGTGATCAAGCAATGCAATTAATAGAGAGAAAAGAATCAGAGAAGTCCCACAACTCTTAACACCCGGAATAAGAAGTTCCGTTCCATTCTGTCATACGCATTTGAGAGATCAAGTTTCATAAAAAAGTCATCCATTCATCCCTTCTTTTTAATCTCTGTAGTCACAACTCTATTATCAATAATATTTCTCCCAGTCTTGAAGGTCCCTTGGAGAGGTGTGATTAGTGAAAGCGGATGGATTTGGTAAAATGGTCGATAATTGAATTATTTAAATACAGTGGTTTACATGATAAGCACATCGGTTAGGATAACTCTATGTGAGATAGAGTTTGAGATATACAATAACTCTAAAGGATAATTCGATCATCATGATCTACAACTCATGCAAGAGATACATGAATATGAGAGACTCTAACTCACCCCCTCAAGCGATGCCGTGCTGGAAAGGGAGAGCTTGTCACATAAGAAAGTGAAGTGCCGAACATGAAGGGGTTTGGTGAAGACATCTACCGTCTGATCAACTGTGGTTAGGAATTTGATCTCAAGTAGACGACGTTGAACTTTGTCCCGTACAAAGTGATAGTCCAACTCGACATGCTTGCTGCGAGAGTGGTGAACGGGATTAGAGGCCAGGTAGGTGGCACCGATGTTGTCACACCACAGGATTGGAGAGGATGTGGGTGAGAAGCCCATTTCACGAATGAACATTTGAATCCAAACTAACTCGGCCGCAAGGATGGCAAGGGACTTGTATTCCGCTTCCGTGCTGGACTTGGAGACGGTGGAGTGTTTCTTGGAGGACCATGATATGAGGTTGGGCTCATAGTAGATGCAATAACCGCCATGAGAACGCCGATCATCTAAACACCCGACCCAATTGCAATCACTGTAGCCATGAAGCTAAGTGGAGGGAGAACGACGAATGTGAAGACCAAGGTTGTAAGTGTGCTTGATGTAGCGTAGGATACACTTGACAACAACTCAATGGTTAACCGTGGGCTTAGACATGAACTGGGCAACCTTGTCCACCGAAAAAGCCAAATCCGGACGAGTCACAATCAAGTCTTATAGAGCACAAATAGTGCTCTGGTATAATGTCGGATCATCAAAGGCAGCAGAGTCAGCAAGGGAGAGTTTAGTATTGGCTGCCATAGGAGTGGTGCAAGGTTTGACATCTGTCGTGTTGGTGCAATGAAGAAGATCCAAGGCATACTTGGATTGAGATAGAATCATGCCATCGGAGGTGGGCTGTGACTCAAGCCTAAGAAAGAAGTGAAGAGGCCCAAGGTCCCATATGGACAACTCAGAGGCAAGAGCATGAATGAACTGATCAACAAGTGCGGAGTTGGACCTAATAATGATGATACATCAACGTAGATGAGTACCAAGGTGATGTCACGGGACGTGTGATGAATAAACAATGAGGCATCAACTTTGGATTCAACGAAATCATGAGCAACTAAGAAGTTGTGGAGTCGAGTGAACCAGGCCCAAGGAGCCTGTCATAGGCCATAAAGAGACCTATGTAGCCTGCAGACATGATCAAGGAAGGATGGATGCTGAAAACCAGGCGGCTGACTCATGTAGACCTCTTCGATTAAGTAGCCATGAAGAAATGCATTGCTGATGTCCAATTGACGGGTAGGCCAGGACTTGGACGTGGCAATGGAGAGAACCAACCGGATGGTGAAAGGCTTAACCACCAGACTGAAGGTGTCCGAAAAATCAATCCCCTCTTGTTGATGATATCCTTTTACAACTAAACGTGCTTTGTATCGTTCAACGGTACCATCAACGTGGCGCTTAATCTTGAAGACCCATCGAAAACCCACAATATTTTTGTCAGGTGGCAGTGGGACGAGAGACCAAGTGTGGTTCTGAATCAGTGCAGAGAATTCGGTATTCATGGCATTACACCACTTCGGATCACGCACAACTTGAGTAAAACAAGTGGGCTCCATTTCAGTGGTGATGGAAGCTAGGGCATATCTGGGATTAGGCTACTTAGAGCGAGTCTGCATACCATGAGTAGGAGCGGGAGCCGAAGCTGGAGAGGCAGTCAGA